AGTGTTTGTCTGATTCGGTGGAGGGCGGAACAGGGTTTACCCAGAATGCGGTTGTTTGAAGGTGAACAGAGAAGCTGACTGCCACTCAGATTTCCTGCGGTACTTGAACGGGTCATAGTGGAGATTAATCCCTTTCTCAGTGTGAAGCTCAAACAATCTCTTAAGGAAAGTGGGTCCAAACCTCCTGTTTGTAACCTCAGCTCAGCTTGAAGCTCTGTTGATCCTTCCAGGGAGAGAAGGTCCGAAAAAAAACAGTTTGCAGGATGACTTCCTGCCGAGAGGCAAAGACAAAACATTGTTAAAACTCAGGTTGACAAGAACTCAGCAAAACTCAGCTTGGCTAGAGTACCCAAAACTGGCAAAACACTCTGGTGTCAAGGTAGTGGCAGTCAGCAGCTTAAGAACTCTCCGTTAAGGAGGAAACCATCGGCAGTTGTGTGAGGAGGCGGACCAGAACCAGGCTCCTCCTGGTGGATGAAGGGAGACAAACACAGAAACACAAACACAAAGACAGGAGTCCTGAAAAGAAATTCTAAAATTGCATCGAGTTACATCTCATTTATGAGTTGTCATTTTGTTGTGAAAATATTCCATCTCCTTAGTCTGATAAGTCCTTCTTAAAAAAAAAACTCTTTGCTTTGTAATTTACATGTCTGAGACCTAAAACTGCAGATCCGACCATAAATATCCATCCATCTGAGTAGATCAAACCACTTATTTTTTGCAGATTTTAACTCACATGTCAAACAATGGAAGACTGCATGCAGGTGGTATGCTCCTCTTGGCACAAACGTCAGTGTTTTCCCTGCATTTTTCAATCTGGTTTACAGTACCAGCACATTTGCTTTCTCAGTAATTTTATTTTCTTTTTTTAAGAACATAGTTTCTGTTTGTGACATCACATTCACATCTGTAAATTCTGTCGATTTTAAAGACTGCAACTGATTTTTTTTGTCTTTCAAACTGAGTCCATAGGTTCATAGTTAAACCAGCTTCACAGGCTTAAAGTATTTAATAACATGTTTTTTCCGGGACTGTCTTTTATTGCACTTCATTCATCTTCCAATCATCTCTTTCATACCAGCTGAAGAACCACCTCCCCACACCATGATTGTCCCTCCAACCTTATTTACTCCAACCTCCTTTTTTAAAATCAGAAATGGCTTTCATCTTGACAAACTCCCAGATTTGTGGATTTCACATCTTATTAGTTCCAACCTGAGGTGTGGATCCTTTTAGCTCCTCCAGAGTTTAAAATGTTTAAAGCACAGTATTCACTGGTCTTCATGATGCTGTTTGTTCATGAATGATCTCTGACGGACCTTTTAGGTTTTTCCAGAATGGCTGGATTAAAGTATGTTCTACCATAATTTTCCTTCTCCTATGCAGTTATTCCCCACCTAGTGATGGTCTCTCTTTTAAAATCCTAACCAAGCCATTAAAAGAGTTTACCTAAAGCTTGTCTGTTATCTTGGTTTACAGTAATGCTGTCATCTTACTGGCAGAAGTGGGTGAATCTATGGCCACAAATTTAATTTTTAATTTTCTTTCTCGACTGTTTTGAAGAGTTGTCAACAGGCTAGCGAAAGTGTAACACTTGTAGCAAGAACATGTTTTCTGTGCAAAATAAGCATGCAGGCTGTGAAATTGACAACTAATCTGTATTTCGGGGAGCAACGGGAGAAACATGACCCTTATGATGTCAGTATACTGAGAGATTATGACACCGGACACGAGCAATGTTGGGTTAGTATCTGTTTGGGGTGGGGCTGAGACCCAGTCCCGGTGGCCTTTTTTTATGTTGCTGCGTATGAACACATGATATATGGTATGACAGGTGACATGTTAGTGGGGGAATTACTCAGCATAAGCTTTGCATACTGGTGAAATATCTAGCTAATCTGGGGTAACCGTGGACAGTTTAACCGCTTCTGGAGCTTTGTTTATGTTTTTGCCCTCATTATTGAATCATTAGGAATATTTATACATGCAACACATGAATCCCTACCAACAACATAAAAATAGGCTGGAGGTAATCAATCCCTTTTCTTGGTATGGTCAGGATTAGTTTTTTTCCATTGTCTGTAGAAACTGAGATGTTTCTGTTTGATAAAAAGTTGCTCTGGTCAAGGTCATAGAAATGAGAAGAATATTACTTGGAAACATTGTTCCTGATGTTGCCAATGTCATTCATGAATATGTAACATTTGTTTCAAATGTCTCATCTTTTTTTAGCAATCTGTGTCAGGTTGTCTTTTGCTTTCTCAAGGTTGTGTTTCAGTTGTCTGCTCCATGTTGAAAAAAAATCTTTTCTCTGCTTTGAACCTGTTTTCCTCCAGGGTTTCTTTCGTCGGACCATCCGTCTGAAGCTGGAGTATGACAGGTGTGAGCGCCGCTGCAAGATCCAAAAAAAGAACCGCAATAAGTGCCAATACTGCCGCTTCCAGAAGTGCCTTGCTGTGGGAATGTCCCACAATGGTGAGTCCTGCAGACAGAGCACCAAAGCATGCAGCAATGAATAGGGCGGCACTGTTCTACTGTAGCAACATTATCAGCTCTCTACCGGAGTTAAATGTTCACCTTCGTATTAAACAAAGCAGACAACAGTCTAACTCATCTCCCTGAATGCTGTTGTCAACTTGATTATACAGGTTCATGTGTATAAGTGCAATATTTTTGCCAGACTAATCTCAAAAATGTTGAAAGTTAAAAAACAGCCCAAACATCAATGATTTAAGAGATTAGAATATCACATTAGATTAATCAAAAGGCTGTTTTGGTACAAATGTAAGGCTTTGTTGATTCCTATGCACTGGATTCTTGGTTGGGCTTCCTGTTGCATTATTTACTGCATCGGTGTGCTGGTGCATGGACGGGATCAGCCTGTGGTACTGTGTATATAAAATGAAAGCCTGGGTGCTCTGATAGCTGCCTTCCCTTTTGATTCCAGTGTCTGTCATCTTCCTCTTGAAAACAGCTCATAGGTTACGCCGGGGCTGTAGCCAGAGAAGAACAGGAGCACCATGGTCACTGAACCAGCTTTTGGTAACTTTGGTAGTGTAGACAGGTTTAAAGATCTACTGGAAAATAAAAGGAGGAATTGGTGCAAAGCCAGACGATGGAGAGAGAATCTGTGACCATGTAAAAATCTTTGTGTTGAAAATGACAATAGCTGAGTAATTTTAATAAATTAAGAAACATCTAAACAGGCCGACAGAAATTATACAATTAAGCCAAAATTAAAATAATGACTGAAAAGAGAAATTGTTATACGCTTATAAAAAATAACTATGTCGTCTACGTAGGTGTTGCGGTGAACGCAGAGCCATCCCCGCCCACAGAAACTCTACCGCAGACAGTGCTGCAGCCAGGAGGCCTCTGATTGGTCAAATCTACATTCGCTCTATACTATGCGCCTCCTGTTTGCTACCTTACCAGCTTGTATGATCGCAATTGCGGAAAACTACTCTTTTTTGTTGGACCACCTAGAAGAGCGAGGTGCGCGAGAACGCTGGGACCCTTTTTCAACCTGGCTCTTTGTTGCCCTCATGTCCCTCCGTTTTCGGACAAACTTGCCCCCACTTCCTCACCGGCTTGGCCGTATCTAGACCCACAGCTAGTTTGCGATTTTCCCCTTTTGCGTTTTGGCGTGGAATAACATAGCGCAGACCACGCTTCAATATTGAGCATTAATAAATGTCCGGGTCACACCTGCGACACTACTGTGAGAGTATAAACAGCCCTTAACAACCTCAATACCTTTTCTCACTACATTTTCCCCACATGCAACACAATTATGTTTTATAAATAATTTATAGCCTACCTTTTTTGCAGTAAATCAGATCAAGCAGCTCTTGAGAGGAGCTGGTGGATATGAATAATCTCTTCAGAGCATACGATGCTGTAAATTGGACTGTAGCTACTTCTTTGCTCGGGAGCGGTGGTATGGGCGATCAGTCATTAGACGAAAACAACTTTCTGATTTTTTTACCATATTTTATGTTCTGTATTTGTTTTTTGTTTTTTACTTTAGTTTGTAGCACTTAGAAACACCTACGGAAGAGGATTAGGGCCACTGGAAACAAAAAAAAAGTTAACTGATTTAAAAATTTTATTTCGGTTTAGTATGGGGAAAAAGTCAGAATTCGACTTTAATCTCAGAATTCGACTTTAATCTCAGAATTCTGACTTTAATCTCAGAATTCTGACTTTTTTCTCCGAATTCGACTTTAATCTCAGAATTCGACTTTATTCTCAGAATTTGACTTTAATCTCAGAATTCTGACTTTTTTCTCCGAATTCTGACTTAAATCTCAGAATTCTGACTTTTTTCTCAGAATTCGACTTTAATCTCAGAATTCGACTTTAATCTCAGAATTCTGACTTTAATCTCAGAATTCTGACTTTTTTCTCCGAATTCTGACTTAAATCTCAGAATTCTGACTTTTTTCTCAGAATTCGACTTTAATCTCAGAATTCGACTTTAATCTCAGAATTTGACTTTAATCTCAGAATTCGGATTTTTTTCTCAGAATTCGACTTTAATCTCAGAATTCGACTTTAATCTCAGAATTT